ACTACAGATGTCAAATTAACAGGCCTGTAATTACCCAGATCACATTTTTTCCCTTTCTTAAAAATAGGAACTATGTTAGCAATTCTCCAGTCATACTGTACAGCCCCTGAATTTACAGATGCATTAAAAATTCTTGCTAATGGTCTTGCAATTTCATACGCCAGTTCCTTTAATATTCTTGGATGAAGGTTATCTGGGGCCCCAGATTTAGTCCCATTAAGCTGTTCAAGTTTGGCTTCTACCTCGGACGTGGTAATATCTATTTCCATATCCTCATTCCCATTTGTCGTCCTACCATTATCCCTAATCTCCTCATTAAAGATTGAGCCAAAGTATTTGTTTAGATATTGGGCCATGCCTAGATTATCCTTAACCTCCACTCCATTCTCACTGTTTAGCGGTCCCACTTCTCCTTTCTTTGTTTTCTTCCTATTTATATGGCTATAGAACCTTTTACTGTTGGTTTTAATTCCCTTTGCAAGGTCCAACTCTACAGGGCTTTTGGCCTTTCTCACTTTATCCCTACATGTTCTGACCTCAATAAGGTAGCTTTCCTTGCTGATCCCTCCCATCTTCCACTCCTTGTAGGCTTTCTGCTTTTTCTTAATCACCTCTCTGAGGTGCTTGCTCATCCAGCTTGGTCTACAACTCCTGCCAATGAATTTTTTCCCCTTTCTTGGGATGCAGGCTTCTGATAGTTTCTGTAACTTTGACTTGAAGTAATTCCAGGCCCCCTCCACCTTTGGATCCACAAGTTCTTCAGTTCAATCCACTTCCCTAACTAATTTCCTTACTTTTTTAAAGTTAGCTCTTTTTAAATCAAAAAGCCTAGTCACAGATCTATTTTTGTTTATCCTCCCATTTAATTTGAACTGAATTAGCTCATGATCGCTCGAACCAAGGTTGTCCCCTACAACCATTTCTTCTATGAGGTCCTCACTATTCACCAAAACCAAATCTATAATGGCATCACCCTTGTTGGTTCAGCAACTACTTGGTGAAGAAATCCATCAGCTATTGCATCCAGGAAAATCTGAGCCCTATTATTGTTACTAGCTCTCGTCCTCCAGTCTATATCTGGAAAGTTAAAGTCTCCCATGATCACACGATTCCCATTAGTATTTACTTCATTAAAAACATTAAAGAGGTCTCTATCCATATCCAAATTGGATCCCGGTGGTCTACAGCACACCCCAAGCACTATCCCAGGGGAGGCTCTAGTAGCTTTCTTCCCCAATGTGATTTTTGCCCAGACAGACTCTGTCTTATCCATTCCATCACATCTTATTTCTTTACAATCTACCTCATCATTGATATACAATGCTACTCCACCTTTGCCTTTATTTCTGTCTTTCCTAAACAGCACCTACCTTTCAATACCTGTACTCCAGTTGTGACTACTATTCTACCATGTTTCTGTTATATCTATAATATCTGGTTTCACTTCCTGCACCAGTAGCTCTAGTTCTTCCATTTTGTTACCTAGGCTCCTCGCATTAGTGTACAAACATCTTAATTTTTGCTGTTTGGCTTCACTCACATTCTTTACCCGATTAGGCACAGATGTTCTACCGCCCGTATCACCTATTACACTGGTATCTATACTACCCTTCCTCCTTATGTCCATTCTCCTAACCATGGCTGTATCCTTTCTTACCTCATTTTCTTCCTTTTCAATATTAAAATCCAGAGTGGAGATTACCTGGACAACTTCCAACCATCTCCCCCGAATTCCTAGTTTAAAGCTCTCAATCAGTTGTGCCAGCCTCCATCCTAGAAGTCTATTTCCCTCCCCACGCAGGTGAAGTCCATCCTGAGAGAACAGTCCTCTGTTCATGAATGCTTCCCAGTGGCCATACTTCCCAAAACCCTCCTTATAGCACCACTGCCTGAGCCATCTGTTGAGCATCATAATCTTGTCACACCTTTGTTGCCCTTCTCTAGGAACAGTCAGAATCCCACTGAAGATCACCTGAGCCTCGATTTCCTTAAGCGTCTCCCCCAGCCTGGCATAGTCTCCCTTGATACGTTCCAGCGAGAACCTAGCCATATCATTTGTTCCCACAAAGGACAATCAGTGGATTCCTTTCCTGCTCCCGTTAGGATCCTTTTCAGCCTCAGGTCCATATCCCATATCTTAGCAGCCAGCAGACAGCACACCCTTCTGTTCTCTGGATCAGCTCTAGTTACAGGCCTGTCTATTCTTCTCAGTAAGAAGTTCCCAATCACTTGTAGACCTGCCTTTTCCTGGTGATGGTGCGATTCTCCGGTCTATCCCCTCTTCCCTCTGGCTGCAAGGCCTCTCGATTCCTATTGTCCCTTGCAATCATCTCGTATCACATCCCGTATCATCTCGGGGATCATATTTGGTGTTGTTATCTCCATTGACTCTTTCCCTCTTCCTATAGGACTAGCTTCCTTTTTCTTCTTCCTTGCCCTCTCACCTTCAGTGACCACCTGCTGTGACCCTTCTTCATTTTCCAACTCCACAAACCTGTTCCTGATCACTATTTCTCCTTCACTAGCCTGTCTTTTCCTCTGCCTGGTTCTCTTAGTCACATGCTTCCACTGTCCACTTTCCTCACCCAGCAGTTTCCCCTCAGAGTTCTTTGGTCCTGCTTCCATCTGCAAGTCTGCGCTTTTCCCTTCAGCCTCCTCATGTCTTTGCTCCATCATCTGCTTGAACCCCCTCATAAACTCAACTAGAGTTTCCACCTGCATCTCCAATCCTTGGATCTGTCATATCTGACATATGTCATATGTCATAGCTTTCTCACCTAAGTCCTGTTAGTCTGGGAAACAAACCAAATCAAAACACCACCATCCACAGCAAAACAAACCTCCAACGAGCACCGCACACTGCCAGAACACCGCACACTCCCTTCACAAGCCTGTCTGTTCCTCTGCAGCCCAATGGGACTCTCCCATCTTGCAGGGTTCTAGAGACCTGGCTCCAGCCTGAGCCTGAACGTCTATACCACAATTATACAGCCCCTTAGCTTAAGCCCCGGGAGCCTGAGTCAGCTGGCATGGGCCAGTCACAGGTTTTTCGTCGCAGAGTAATCATACCCATTAAGACCTGGCCCAAGTTTTCTATACATACAAATGTCACAATTCTGAATGCTGATGCCTTGCGTCCCTACAGGGCTATACATGTAAGTTTTATACCTTAGAAAGTAGGTTGAATTCCATCTTTCCAATAGAATCTAGGACTTACATCTAGCTTTGAAAGATCTTGAGACACAGAACTTTAAAATCATATTTTTGATCTAGAAAAAAATATTTCAACTTGTGCTTAGAAATATTTTACATTTATTAGTTTTTATTTTTCTCAGTCTCTGAGCCAGCACAGTTGAACACATGGTAAATAAGAGAATACAGGAACAATCTCAATGATGTATTTTAAAAATCTCAAAAAAAAAAAACCTCCTAAAATAGTTTATGTAGCAAAGATAGTATATGTAAAATACACGATAATATGATGTGCAAAGAGATTTGGGGCCAACTGGAGCTAGGGAAATTTACATTAACAGAGTATCTGTTCCTTTACCTGCATTGACTTGGGCTGATGATAAAATTTTCAGAAGTAGCTAAGTTTCTTAGGAGGCTAAGCTAGATTCATTTTCAATAGGACACTGGCACTTTTGAAAATTTTACTTCATAAAACTCATTCATGAATAACAACTACCCTAAGCTCACAAAAAATAAATGGAGCTGGGCAGAAAATGGTAATTCCATTTCATGGAGGATTTGAAGATCTTTAAATTTGGCTTTGCTCTAATTTGGAATAAAACCAAAGATTTTCAAAATTCTTTGAAACACTGTTCTCCACACAGCTATTCAGGGAGCCCTGGCTCCAGGGCAGTCTGCCTGAGTTCTGTCAGAATTTAAGCAAAAGCAAACCATTTCTGCAACATATTTAGATTTCAACAAGTTGGCAAATTCTGATACAAAATGTCTTACTTAATTTTTTCTGACCAGCTCTCAATTAACCCTTATGTTATACTACATATTTTGTGGTGATAAAAATGCTGTTAATCTGTAGAGCCAGGTGATAAATTTTATTTATCCTTTATCTTTGACTAACTCACCTGCACTCTGCTCACTAATCTATATGCATCAATATTTATTCAAACATTAATAACTTCTGAGTAGTTTCCTAGAGCTGCAATTAAACAAAACAAAACCCCTTATAAAAAAAAAAGCCTTTCTTTCTTCAGTAAGTTCTCCCTATGAACTTGTACTGAGGTTCTAGATGGACAACATTGCACAAGAAACCGATTTAAGATAAGATATCTCCTGATCTAGTAGGGATAGAAAAAGGAGCTTAAGACCATTCAAAATGGGAAGATTACCAGGTTTCCAATAAGACACAAAATATTTCCTTCTAGTATGGAGAAAACTGAATTATAAAGTGTTGGCATTTAATGTACAGGAAAGTTAGTTTGGGTCATTCTTATGAGTTTTAAAAAGTGAGTTAATTGTATTTTTAGTTCCCTGACACATGTAGATGGACTCACAGTAACTAAAAGGGAGGACTGGCATTAAAAAAAAAAACAAAAAACAGCCCTCACTTGCAATTAAACTAAGACATTTCTAAAATAGCTGTTGGTTAAATGTGTAACTTATAAACAATACATGATGGGTTTTACTGGCATTTGTTTGGGATGGCAGTATTACTCAGTCACCTATGTAATTAATTCCTAAATAAGCATCCATAAAACCTTTATACCATACCATCATTTATTCTGTATCGCTCTTTATGTACTGTACATATATTACAAGAAGGTTCAAAATTCCATTAACATTAGTCACACTGTGCTTCAACAAACAGGCCCTGTTCCAGAAGGATGCTAAATGTTCCCCATGATTTGAATAATGAATACATGAACTGTTAAACAAAGAATATTAAAGACGTCTAGCTACTTTTTTAATAGTCAAAAAGATATGGATATATTATTTTTCTTTTAAATTCAAATATGAAGTGCCTGCAAACTTACCTTCATACTCTCCAGTGCTGAAGTAACATTCTGATGGGTTTTCAGAAAGATGCAACACAAACTTCTCAATTAATTCTGCCAAAACTGTAATAAGCAAAAACCCATTAAAACATTAGCGACAATGAATGGAATGTGGAACTACACTACCCAACAAAATTACATGTGGACAACTAAAGCAATTTGAACTACTGAATGTTTATGCACAATTGTATGAGGAAACAATTTAAAATACTGTGTTTTTGTATTCATAACATTCCTGATACAAATTAAATTTTTAATAGCTTCACTGAGAATCTATTCAGTGTTAACTGAAAGGGAATTATTTATCATCTTTAGATCCTCCAAGGATTACTTCAGAATTTGTTACATGGTTTCAAAATACAAAGAAAATTAACTCTAATTAGGCTACAATACCTTACCACATTTGTATGTGGATGTAGACTGTGGTAAAAATGTTACTTGAAAACAAAAGACATGAAGCAATGCACTTTAAGGGTTCTGTCCTTCCTTCTGAGAAACAGTGCAAAATCAACTGTTTGCATATTTATACAAGAGTAATGGCCAACTTTCCAAAACACGAAAAATACAGTAAATATTATTAGATCTTAGAGGGCAAGAACAAATCTTAAGGGGTGCTTCTATGCTTTATTATTACTACAGTCTTACTCAAAGATCTGCTCCTTCCATGGAAGCTCCCATGGGGATTGTGCTCTGCTCTGAATGTCTGTATTGTGGGGTCAAGCAGGATGCTGGAAGTTGGTCACTACCCATGGACCTAAGCACCCCTGTACAAAATATGCCTTGTGATATATCATTTGAAAACTAATAACTTTCAGGTTAATAACATCATGGTAAAATGTATATAGCAATATTATATGTAAATTTATGAATTCCCCTTATAGGATATCATTGTCATACGTTCAAGACCAGGTGCCCTAGACTAGGTAAAGCTATTAAACAAGTTCATCTCAGACAAAGGAATGTAGTTTCCTCACCTGGGAGTTGCTTCCATAGTACTTTGAAAGACAATGAGACTGCATTTACATATTGTGTGAATAGACCCATGGAGCTAACAAGTGGTGGAGGCAAACCCTACATTATCACAACAGAGGAGGAAATTTTTAATGTTCATTAAGTTGCACCGGAGGGGGCAGGAACTAAAATAATTTACATTTTAGCAGACAACTCCAGGAGGGGAAGAAGCAACAGAAAACTTCCTTCAAGACAGGCTCCATGTAGCCTACCTCACAGCTGGGAAGAGACTCATCTGGACATATCCTTCAGAAGAATCCATTTCAAAAATTTATTGGACTATAGAAGAAAGGGGCCAAGACACCCTAAGTTATCTTTCACCTAAGAAGACAAAGGTACCAGCCCTTTGACATGTGGGGAGATAGATTCTGGCCCAAGGGTTCGGTCAGCCATCTTGGTGAAAGCACATGGTGACGATTTTACCTTGAATCAAGTCTAGTTTGTTAAGTTTTAGTTGCCAGAAGGCATTTTATCTTTATTTCTCCTGTAACCATTTCTGACTTTAATCCTTGTACTCATTTAATAGCCATCTCTTTGGAATTAAATAAACCAACCCAGTGCTGTGTTTGAACTGAACTGTTTGGTAACTCCAGTTAAAGTATCAAACTGTTGTATACTGACTCTTCAAAGGAGCAACGAACCTTATCATTCCTCTCTTGTTCCATGACAAGGTTGGGCATTCCAGAACACCTTTTGGGGAAAAATTCGGGGCGGGGGAGAGTGTGAAGTCACCTTATCAGTTGTTAACCAAGGCAGGTGGGGATCAGTGGAAGTCTAGTCAGGCTCCAGAATCCAAACCATTGGACCAGGGCTGCCTAATACATAAAGTACATGCTTGTTGCTGTCTGTGGGCATCCCAGGCAGAGGGCAACAGTAGCAAGACATTGTGAGGCACTCCGGGTTTCAGGGTAAGAGGTGACAATTCCTCACCGATCTGTATTTCATCCCAGAATGTGACACTACCCAAGGAATTGTACCTACCTCCCTTGTAGGATAATAGCCAATAACTTAGTGCTCACCCTGTCAGCATTAGCTTTCCCTGCTTTTCTTGATCACGTAGAAGGCATCCTGAAGAACTGCTAAGGGATTGAGAGCCACTGTAATTGCAAAGGCTCTTCTCAAACTTAAAATTACCTGTAGGTTTGGGGAGACTGCATCCCTTTATACTTCTATAGCTGGGCAAAGTACATCACTACTTTAAACAGAAGAATGCAAATGAAGCCTTCCCATCTCCTCTATGGGGATATCATCCATGTAGGGAACAATAATGACCTAAATTCAGAACTCAAGGTAGCACCAGTGAAAATGTAACAAGGAGAGCATGACCCAAAGACAGGTATCATCACCAAGACAATTCAGATTTCAAAAGGCTCTGATCTTGCCCTCAGTTTACAATACCCCCTCACCACTCCTAAGAATAACAATTAAAATGCATAAAGATAATCATGTTTACAGTTTCTCCAGCCACTGTTTAACCTAATCTATTGTCATTAAATTATATACACTGCTGGTTTAATTGTCCAAAAGGTTCACAGGAATCACATTTTTACAGATCCAGTCTATCAAAAATGCCTTAAATTAAGGAAGAAAAATGCCACTAAGAAAGACCGTACACTGTCTATTTTTGCATACAGAAATCTATGTCTTGTCAATCCACAGTTGTAAATATTGTAGGAAGTTGCTGGGAGATTACAGACTCTACTCTGTATGCCGGAGTTTTCCCCACTGGGGAAACAGAGACATATGGAACTTTAATGCATAGGAATCAGCTCCAAAGAAGTCTTCAAGAACTTTAATTATACAACTATTGATTTCACTGCAGTAGTAACAAGGAGAGTATATGCAATGGCAGTTGGTATAGAAAATGATGATTGTTGTAACACCAAGTTCACATTGAGAAACACTACATTTTTACCAAGAAAGATCAGTCTCTTTCTACATCAAAGCAATAGAGACTTCACAGAAATTGGGTTATTTCCCTCTTCTGTTTGAATAGGACTGTTGCATATATTTAATACCATTCTTTTTTTCCCTGAAATCTGTTAGGATATAGATATTCAAGCCTGTCTGTAAAAACCTATACTTTAAGAATTTAGGTATATGTTTATCATTTAGCTAGTTATAGAGGTATAAAACAAAGAATCTGTGTAAGGGCCTTCTCTCACTGACAGTCTGAGGCCCTGTTCTTAGGCTAAGGCCTTTGGCTAAGCAGCAGAGGCAGACATAAGCTGGGAAGTGTATGGTCACATCATCACATTCCAACCTAGTCACATTGAAATAAGGCAATCTGGGGCTGTTGGAAAGGTGATCCTATCTATCACCTCCAGAGAAAGGGAAGAGCCTAGAAGATGTAAAAAGAAATTTAATTTGATAGTTTTCTGTCTGGTAAGAACTCACTTATCAATAGACACAGCTGGGAAACCCTTATGTCTTTACAGATGTACTTGTAAAATCCTCACTTCTGTATTGTTTTGTTATTATAGTTCCCCCTTTACTACTGTTTATTTGCATGGTCTCTGTCTGGTTCTGTGATTGTTTCTGTCTGCTGTATAATTAATTTTGCTGGGTGTAAACTAATTAAGGTGGTGGGATATAATTGGTTAGCTAATCATGTTACAATATGTTAGGATTGGTTAGGTAAATTTCAGTAAAATGACTGGTTAAGGTATAGCTGAGATTGCTACTATATAAATTAGGGGAAAACAGGAGGTAAGTTGGGATTCGAAAATAAGGAAAAAGGAACTTGGATTTAAGCTTGCTGGAAGGTCACCCCAATAAACATCAAATTGTTTTCACCTTTGGACTTCGGGTATTGTTGCTCTCTGTTCATGCGAGAAGGATCAGGGAACTGAGAGGGTGAAGGAAGAAGCCCCCTAACAAAATCATACGTTTATAAAAATTAATGTAGACAGCACAAGCATATTTATTCTATGGGACTCATTAAAGCACAACCTTATGTTCATTTTTTGGGTACCTGAAAAAAAATTAGTTTAGAGACTGCAATATTTTCTAGTCCAGAGCAGAGGAGTTTGGATCCCTGAGGATGGCGAACTCTGCCAAACTGTTTCTTGTTCAGTGTATTTTTCAAAAGAAATACTATTTTCAGAATTATCACATAAAAGCCCCTTCTGCTGCTGCCATAGTTCAGCCACTCTGTGATGCAGCATTTGCCATTGAAATTAGACATTTGTAAAAGCTTTCTTCTTTTTCCTCTTCTTGGATTCAGTATAGATTAACATGCTAATATTTATGTAGCAGCATGGCCCCACTCTTGAAAAAATATATGCATGTGTTTAACTTTACATTCTGAGAGTAACGCTACTGTTGTACTTAAGCCTTTGTATAATTGGGGCCACAATTAGCATAACATAATTAAAACAAGAAAAAATTACTGCTTAGACTAAGACATGGAAACTAAAGAGCTTCTCTTGGGAAAACTTGCTGTTCACTAGTAACAGTACATTTAAGATATGACTGTTCACATTCAGATCAATGAAATATGTCATGCTCAAATAATAAATTGGAGCAATGTCACAAGCTTAAAAGATTGAATAATTCACAAAATTTAAAGTCAATACAGAATATTTTAATTTGATCTTTTTTATTGGAAGGCATCCACATGCTTGAACCAACAGCCAAATACTTTAGTTCAGTGATTGAATTAATGGAAGAAGTGACAGTTCAACTGCTAAGCAGTTTTTTTTTTTTCAAATTCTAGAACAAAATTGATTTCAGCCATCTGTAAGTATTCATCTAAGTGCCCAGCAGGGGTCTGTGAAAACACAATCAAGTTTGTGAGAGAAAAAAATACCTAAGTGGAGTGTATTAAAATAAACTTGGTTATGAAGTAAATTGAGGGCTTTCACAGGACAAGACATTTCTTTTGAGATATTATTTATGTAAAATGATAGGTTGTTCTAAGTTGCTGTAGTTTGTGTGCTTTATCGCCTAAAAGTTTACTTTAGCTACTTATGCTGATGCTACTTTCAGTTGGGCTCTTTCTGGAATCCAGAGCTCTCTGGTTTTGGAAGTAAAAAATATTGCAGAGCAAA